GCTTTGCTCTCAAATAAGCAACCTATACTTCAAGCTTAAGGACTCTCTCACGAGCAATCCTCAAACTATGTCTTTACTCTCACGCAAGCAACCTACCTTTCTCTCTCTCTCTAGGTAATTATGTTAGATATTTTAATGTTTAGAATAACATTATTTTTGTCATCTCTAGTCAGGCTCTTGAAACTCAGGTCGTTTGTAATCCGAGGGACGTATTAAATTGAAAATTAGCACAAATAAGCTCTGTTTGCATTTATCTCCAAACAACGCTCCTCTATTGTTATCAGCAAAGTCGCTTGCCAACAGCGTCCCTTCAGCAGCACCCAGCGCCATAGTCACTTCAAGGATATTGTCCACCGCCTGAGGCATCCCAATGAGCGCCATAGACACCTCAATAGGCTGCACACCCAGGTTGGCGCCCAGATTAGCACCCTCAGTGCCTGCTCATCTAGATCAGTGCCTGCTCGCCCATATCAGCACCCAAAGAGCCTGTTCACCCAAATTAGCGCCCCTTAGCGCTTGTTGTTGGCCCAGATCAGCACCTTCACACCTGTTCGCCTAGATCAACGCCCCTTAGCGTCTGCTGTTTGCCCAGAAACTGTCTGCTCACCCAAAATCGCGTGCCCAACTGTTTGCTGGTTATTTTGACCATAACTTTTGCTCTGTTACTCCAAATGGGGTCCATAATATATCAAATCGAAACTCTCAGCGATCCCTACAAGACTTATAACCTTTTGGATGTGATTGATGCTATTAAAAGTCCAAAAAAGGCCTAGAAACAGATGTTTGGCCTCCCAAATTTTTTTCAAATATGCAGCCAAAATTCAAATTTAACCGAATGCCCTCCTCTCCAAGTTCCATTGGACACAGGACATTGGAGGGCAAATGATGGGTCAAGCCCAAGGGGCCTAGCCCACGATGTAAGTCCAGTTTAAATTAAGAGCCCAACTCCAAGAAATTCAACGCCCAAAGTGGTCCACAGCCGGTCAAACTCATCAAGTTCGAGGAGCTACATCAGCAAGGGAGCATGCAAGGGGTCATCCAAGATACTCCACCTTGAAGTAAGGGTCATCCAAGAGTCTTCTCTTAGCCACCTTGGAGTAAGGGTCATCCAAAGGCCTCCTCTTTGCCACATTCGAGTAAGGGTCATTTAAGAGCCTCCTCCAAGCCACCCTGGAGTAAGGGCTATTCCAAGAACCTCATCCACGTCGCCTTAGAAGAAGTCAACTACCACCTTATTCTTTGACCGAATCATATGGAGAACACCATAACTACCTCAATGGATCAGGTCGTCAGCTTCACCAGATTAGTTTTTTAGTTACTATTAAGTCGCCCCAATCTGTTAAGAGACGATTATAAATTGTAAGTCCCACCAACACTTGGGGAGTAGATCACACTCAGTCGAGCATAACTATTTTCTCCCTCTCATAGTTTGTAACTCCTTGCTTTCTCTATACACTTGAGTTAATAAAATACTCGGCGATCTTAGCCATTCAAAAATGGATGTTGGTCACGTTGACCTAACCAATATAATCTTTGTCTTATCTCTGTACTTTAATTACTGCATTTATTCCTCATACTTGACACGTGGCGTGCAAATCCAATTTATGCATCATAAAAACTCTCTATTTATAAGAATTTTTTAACGAAAAAAAAAAACGGAGTAGTTCCAAAAATTTCGAATAGCAAAAATTTCCGACAACTTCCCCACATGTTCATAATTGGTTGGACCACGTATAATTTTTTTTTACCTTAAGTTAAGACAAAAAAATCCCTGCCACAAGAAAAAAATATAGGAAAAACACAAGCACGAGAGGTACGTTTCACGTGATATATATGTGTTCCAACCCATTATGAACATAACCTGGAAATGTTTGGTACCTTCTGGCAACATTAATATATAGTTACTTTTATGTTAACATAGCTGTCTGTATTCTCAACCTTCAACATTGAGGACAACTATTCGTTCAATGGTACTACTAACCACCTCGTCGTCTTTGTCTTTTATTGAGACTCGTAAAGAGAAATTGGTAGCCAGCCTCGCATGGAAGTAGGCCATGAAAAATCTTCCCTTTTCTTGACCAACAAAGAGGAATTGGGCGGGGGGGAGAGAGATAGAGAGTATTGAGTAATTAGTACCGATAATTGAATCAAATTATTTGAATTCGACTTGTTTTGAAATCGATTTGGCTTTAATTTATTTTTTTAAATGATTTAAATTTGAATAATTTTTAGACCTGTTTTAAAAAATAAATTCAATAAATTCGACTCAAACTTGTCAGAGTCTACTCGATTATCAATCTTATGAATAATCATATAATTACGTAAGCTTATTTTCATCTACACTTAAGCCCATCAATACAAAAATAAACCCAAGTATAATGGGTCACTCAGCTTGATAAGTTCAAAAACAATTCGTTTTTAATTTTATATTTAAATATTTTTTTGATAGGAAAATAACAAATAGTACCTTTAACTTAATATGTAATATGTTTGACTTTTATATCCTGTAGAATATATAAGTTTGAGTGATGTGTTGGGAAGGATGTTAAACATATGCACATGGGCGAAGATGTCTTACAATGGGGACAATCAATAGTTTAAGGACAACAACCACATGATAATCATTAATTTATTTTATTTTTTATTTTTGCGAATTTGGATCCATTTTCAAATAAAATCACATAAAATTCTGATCGATTTTCAAGAGATTCAAATTTGATTTAAAAATATTTTTTAATCTAATATTATTATTCAATGATTTTTTTAACAATCTATATCTAAATAAAATAGATATTAAATATTTGAATGGATACATGAGTTATTTATAATTGAATTTTATTAAAACTACATTTTAGTTAGATTTGATTGTATCAAGTAATACTCAATTTCATCATATATATATATATATATACACATATATGAATGTAATAAATTGGAGTATATTATAATCGAATTAAAGTTTGGTCAAAAAGGCTATGGTAGTACCGTATCAAAAATTATAACTTTTTAACACTAAGTTATAATTTTTTTGATGTGCAAATTATAACTTTTAAAAAGTACAATCAATCATGGAAGATTGTTTTCAATACCGAAAGTCCATGATTGATCATAAGTATATATGATCCATCGTGGTATTCTTTGAATAGTTGTAACTTCTCTTTTTAAATGTGAAACTTTACCATAAAAAATTGTAACTAGCGTTACAATACCGATTTTTTTTTCCAAGTACCGTAGACTTTCCCAAGTGTTTCAAAATTTAAATTTGTGAAAAATGACATAATTGATTTGAATTTGAATAATCAGTCAAAATTATCTATTCATATCTAACTTATTAAATTCTGACTCAATTTTTTTTTTTTGGATCAAATTCTAACTCAAAATGAATTCAAGTTAACATCCAATATGTTAAGAGACTTAAATTTTAAATTTATGAAATACTCCCATTTGATTTTTAAAATATAAAACGATGCCCACGTTTTTTACAAAATTTTGTGGAGGCAAGGTTTAAAAAAAATTAGATTTTTTAAATTTCAAAAAAACCCCAAAAATTTTGAAAATTTCAGTGTGGCAACTGACCCCATTGCCCCCACCTTCCATTCGCCCTTGGGTATTATCTTTGGTTAATATATATGAGTATGGAATTTCACATTTGCTTTATTCAATTCTGTAATAAAATACTTATTGTAATTAGATTTGGGGTCAAATGGACTACTATCTTACTGAAAACAAAAAATTATTAGGTCAACTATACAAATATTTGAAAAATTATGGGGGCAATGAAAGACTTTTTCCTTGTTAGTCAAGTTGTTTGAGGTAGAAAAATAAGAATACAATCCCGATGATCTAATTGAATGACAAAAAAATGTACAAGTTCGTTAAGAATCGACAACTCAGTGGGAGCAAGTGCCCCTAAGGATACTTGGCTCCGCCGTTACATATACAACACTTTGTCATGTTGTTCTTAGTTTTCTTCACCCAAGTCATATCAAGTATGCATTATATTATAGTCTTTGTTATCACTTGCATACATAAACACTGTCATCATCACCATGTAGGCCCCTGGTGCACTAAATGTTACGTCAGAATTTGACCACTAATTTTAACAAAGCTTATCAAGCGTAATTTTAAATTTAACGAGAGGAAAATGTTATTTATTTTTTGTCACGTGAATTTGAGTTATTCGTGTTTAATATTAATGCAAGTCGTTTATGATTTATATTAGTAAGTCTTGTCATTTTTGAGTTTGTGGAAAGAAGTAATTAACTCTAATTTATAATTTTGTATTGTGTTAGCATGTTATGCCAAAAAAATTACTACGATTAATTGTGATTACGAAAGTATCCCTCAAGTAAGTTTACAATCTTTAATAGGAACCGCTAATCTAATATGTGATCATCGGTACAAAATTATCAAACATGAGTTTAATCTTAACAAATTTGGATCATTATCAAATTAACCCATCATGATCGTTTAGTAAATAGATTAACCTGAGTATATCTGCTATGAATCCATAGTAATTAGCAAAAATAAAAACAGTTTCACACCGCAAGTCAAAAGAGAAGTGATTGTGCTTTGTCCTCAACCTAGTACTTCTCAGTCGACATCGACCTACTTCTCTTAACCGCTTCCAGAAGTCCACATGTTCATACTAATGTGAGCCACATGACTTATGACTCCAATTAATTACAAATCTCACCTTTGCTCTCTCTTTCGACATCGACTTGCTGTACATTTTTATTCCTATTTTCCCCACGTGTATTAACTTAATTTCCATTTTCAACCCCAAGATAATATAAAAAATAATGTCAGATGAATTTAAAAACTAGACTTGATAATCTCAATTATTAAATAGGTATTGAGTTTCAATAAATATTAAGAGTCACAATAAAATTAATAATTAAAATTATCAAATTTAACTTTTAACTATATTTTTTATATTCATATAACATTTTCCTAATATAAATATCTTTAACGTAGATCCCAAAACCATTGCCTTTCACTCTCTTTAGTCTCTGATCAAAAAAATACAAACTCTCTTTGGTCTTTTCTTCTCCACCGTTTAACTCTCTCTCCAATTTTTTTTCTGCAGTAAGAAGGGAAGAAAACAACGTCGAAGCGGCCATGAATGAGGCTGAACCTATGGTGACTTCAATGTGGGCTTTCATGGCTAGCTGGTTAACACCCTCTGTTCTCTTCTGCGTTCTGAATCTCACGATCGGTACTATCTTCATCATTTCAAAGCTCCAAAACCAAAACAAACACCAACAGAAACAACAACTCGGTGAAGACAACTCACCCCAACTTGTCCGAACTCCATCTTTGCTCGAACGAGTGAAGTCAATCAATTTGTCTTTCTACAGATCAGAATCGGTCGACCCGTTTCACCCCATGGCACACCACACCGATCCAACTCACGATCGGAGTGAAGACCAAACCCTAGAGAGTCAGAGTCAAAACCCCAAAGAGGATCTGGGTTTGGAGGGTCACGTGACTAGAAGCAAGTCTGAAATGGGTGGGAAGACTCCGGCGATGGTTGAGCCAACGATGAAGAAGTCTGCAAGTGAGAAGGCAGTGGCTGCAGTGGAGGTTGATGTTGATCATAGGCGACCAGCGACGGTAAGAGAAAGAAAGGGGAAGGGGAAGTGGAGTGAAACGGCGTCTTCTGGGGAAGATGAAACGGTTGATGCCAAAGCTGATGACTTCATTGAAAGGTTTAAGCAACAGTTGAAGTTGCAAAGGCTTGATTCCCTCCTAAGGGTCAAGGAGATGCTGAACAGAGGGGCTGGGAGGTGATTTTTGAACAAATCTGCCCTTCTGTGGTAGGATTTTCTGTATTAAAATTCATGGGTGTTGTGGTCGTTGAGATCTATCAATTTTTAAGATCACCTAGTATTACTCGTTCATCTTTGATCCCATTGCTTGCTTTTTTTTTTTTTGTTTACTGGATTTTTTTTCCTTTTTTCTTTTGAATTTTTGCCTTACTCCTTTGTATTGCGTTTTTTAAAGTACTAGAATTAAATATGTTTGTATGTGCTTAGCCTTGTTTTGTTTTTTGGTTAAATAGTAAAAACGTATTTGAGGCAATTTATACACAGTTTAATTAATTTTTTTTTCAGTTGGTTCAGAAATAAATTATTCACATCGAAATTAAGGTATTTAAATTATACTATAAGGATGATATTTCACAGGTCAAGACTATGAGCAGGCAATGGAAACAATGCTCAAGTGAATGAGTGCCACATAATTGAAATTGGCTCCGTGGAATGTACTTGAATGGATGGATTGATTGTCGCTGGATCGAGTGTGATCGAACGATTGATTGTTTTACGCTAATTTCAATTATTTGAATTTTGAATTCTTGTATTGACGAGTTTTACCCCAATTTCAATCATTTGAATTTTGAATTCTTGTATTGATGATTGATTGTTTTACCCTAACTTCTACCCTAATTTCATACATTCACTTTCCTTGGAGGCATGCAAGAAGCTTCCTAGAAGGTGACGTAGCATGTTAGAAAAGAACACAGCATAAACACACAATGACAGGCTTCTACGTTTTGCGTTGCTTGAATTTTGTCAAACTGGAGAGGATCTTGTGTCATTTAATATCTTTAAAGATTAGAATATAGGATTATTTATTTCTGGTGCCAAAATAAAATATTTTTAATTTTTAATTTACACCTTCAAATATTAAAATTTTTAATTTGTACTCTCAATGAATTGGTAGCAATATAGAATAGACCTAAACTGTAGTTCAGATTTTTGTCATAAATTGAAGCACGTGATGTGCAAGTGTTTCGGGCATAAGGATGATGTATGTCCATCACTGTAGATCAATTTTGACACCATTTTGTATATTAAAAATAAGATTTTATTAATCAAATAAAGACTAACTCTAGCATGTGTAACTCACATGAGAAGCTAATTGTATATAAATTTACACATAAATCCATGCTCGTAAAATTTGAAATTTATGTGCTTCAATTTATGACGGAAAACTGAACAACAGCCTAGACGTAGTCTATATTGCTACTAATTTATAATATTGAAGATGTAAATTGAGATTTTTAATATTTAAATGTATAAATTAAAAATCAAAACATCTTTCGAATTACAACGTAAGAGTAACCCAATAAAATATGATTGTCCATCAAAAATTTATTTTTTCTTTCCTTTTTGAATACTTTCTACATTCTTTGGTCTTGGGAAAAAGGTGGGTTGAAGATTCATGAAGCCATCGGTATGAAGTCTAAATTCAATTGATTACATTTGAGAAACAAGGGGACTTATGATTGAATCAATTGACTCTACTATTTTTTTGTTGAATGGAAGTCTTGAATTACATGTTAGAGAACTGGTAATCTAACCTTTACATCATTCTGTTGGTAGGAGTTTGCTCTGAAAAAATAAGAACAAAAAAAGTCCCTTCCTTAGTTGCCAAGTTGGAGTCATACTTCATTTAACAGGAAGATATTGTAGGAATGTGGAAAAATTAAATTATGATATTTTACGATTGAATCGGGTCAAACTTAACAACACATTCATTTGTGGACAAACATGACTATGACTAGAAACAGAGCAAACTATCCTATTAATACTTTTCTGTTTTAATCACCATGCCTTGCTTCCCTTTGTTAGGTAATCCATCCTCATCTTCTGTAGCTTTGCTCTGAACATGGGCAATAGGCAACTTCTCAGGAGCCTTGAATTTTGCACTGCATCTCACAAAAAACATAAAAATTAATTTGACATAATCGAAGTGACACATTAATGAAACAAAATTAGAACAACGATTTTAAATATAGGCTTGTGATTCATGATTCGCAGGAAAATGGATTTTTGAACTGTGTTATGCTCATTTGGCGAATATTATGACATAAATTTCAACCTAAAAAGGGATGAGCAGATTATGCATTTCCAAATTTGATAGGAATTCCAGTTCTAAAAAAGAAATTAATGCAAATCCCATCAAATTAAGCAGTGTTTTGGCACTATGTATTAGGTATATATATATAGGTATGTTTATATATCATGTATACCTAATACATAGTGCCAAAACACTGCTTAATTTGATGGGATTTGCATTAATTTCTATCAAAAATGTTTTTATACCCATATATATATAGATCATGAATTCAACTATAACCTGGATTCTCCTGATTCCTCAAAATTGGCAAGAGCTTGCTCATTCTGATAGGAATCCATAATTTCATCCATAGGATGGATATTGGAGGGTTTAATTGCTGCACCCTGTTCCAAAATGGACTGGAAATTGTATCCATGAAAGCCTCTTGTAGCACTCATAACAATACTCTTCATTGGCCTCAATTACAAGGAAAGTTAGGATATCAGTTAGCACTCTTAGTTCTATCATTTCCAGAAAAGACAAAAAAAATTATATGCATTAAATAAGTAAGATATCATTTGGTAATATTTTTCTAAAGCAATTTTAAAAATAAAAAATAAGTTTTGTCTAAAAAAAACAAAAACATGTTTGATTAACATGGTACAACATATAAATAATACCCCTTGTGTACATGTGCTTACTATTTGGATGCAATTAAGTTTAGAGTAACTTACCCAATAAAAAAAAAAAAAAAAAAAACATAAACTACAAAACAAACATTGCTCAAAAAACAACATCAAGGGGTATACAAGACTCTTGTCATCGAGAGATCTGAGGAAGGTTAGATATATGTAATTTTATCTCTGCATGTAGAGAGATTGTTTTTGTGACTCGAACCCGTGACTTTTAGGTCACAATAAAACACACCAAGGCCCACCTCAACTGATAATTTAAGTAATAAGAATTACTTGACATTGATGTTAATGGATTATATATGTTCCCAAAACAACAGAGATCATAGTGTCATTGGTTGAACCGAGGTCTGTACCTGGTAATACATATCAGATGTTTGTGTTAATGACCCATCAAGAAGTTGTGACATAGGAGGTGTTGAGCCCAGCTTTGCAAGACATGGCCCACGGGTTTGCTCCAAACTAGTTGGCAAGACTGCTAATGCAGATTCATCCAGTTGGGCTTCCAGATTCTCCTTCAGTTTCTGCAAATTTCTTATTTCTTTGCTGAAGGAGAGCTGTTTCTGCACAAAATCAAGCTCTTTTTCACAGGCCTCTATCTGGGCACGAAGCTCCTTTTCAACACCTAGAGTGCCATGCACAGGGTGGTCCTTCCTGATTTTAGCCTCCATAACTAGGGTTTCAATGGATTTATCTCTCTCATCCTCGGCAACCACATTCAAAATTTTCAGCAAGTTGCTCACACCAAAAAGCCTGTAAACAGGGGTGTCAATTTCATACATTAACACAAATATTACACGAACTGACAACCGACTATAGTAAATTTCTTACTCATTTTTCTCATGTATTGATTAATACACATGTGTGAGAGTTAAGTTTATTAGAGACATGATAGATAAATGAGAGAGAATAGTATCTGATTAGTTAGAAATTACATATTTTATTGTATCTAATCAATTTTACATTGATACAACTTTTTAGTCCGACTAATAATTCAACAAATAGTATCCGTGTTAATCTGAATCACTCTTAAAAGGATGAAGAAAAGTCCGAAAGTGGGGTGCCATAGAACCTCAAAGAAAGGACATAAGAAATTAATTTCCGCATTCAACAAAAATTGACCCTTGATCACTTGGTTGACAAAATTCTGAAAAATAATCAGTGGTGACCGACTAATCCTAACTTAGTTTATTTTTTCAATAATATAAACACAAACACGAAGCAAACTTAAAATAACATTGTTGATCTTTTTAGTAACATAAACACAAACACGACACGAACTTAAAAATAACACAAACTTAAAATGATAAATTGATGGACCCTGAATCAATTGGCACACCATCTACCTGTAAACATTCTGAAAATCTTCACTCTTGCTGGCTGGAAAGTACTTAGCTAACTGGCAGTTTGGGTCACATCTCTTTCTTTGGTGCCTACATGCAGCACAAGCTCCACCATACATGTTAATGGTGGCATCCCCATTCATTCTTCTTACTCTTCTGATTTCTTGCCGAAGAAGTCGCAGAAGATATAGGCAAAGATTCAACCTTTTGAGGGTCTATGGCAACAAAAAATGAAGATCCAGAGACTGACTGAATAGTTAGCATTGAGAAGATTTATAGTGAGAGTATGGAAAGTTTTGGAGAAGGGTTTAAATCTTTTTCTACCCAAATCTGACAGTCTAGATTTTGTGATTGATTTGAATCTGCAAATTAATGGGCCCTTAGATTGCATTCCCACCAAATCCCTAGTTTTCTTTTTAAGTAGAAACAGCCTAGTCTCTTGTCTTTTTTTTTTCTTCTTCTATGTGGTGTCCACTTTAATTTATGAGCACCTCGACTAATTCTCTCTTTATTTTAGTCAAAAAACATCTACGCCTAAAATAGAGTATCCCTCATGATCTATGTTACTACTTGAACTAGTATTTTGATATCTTATATCATGTGGTTAGAGCATCACTAACTCTTATTCAAATTTAAAATTAAATTTAAATTTGAGGAAAAAATTTCAAAAAACTTGTTCCAATCTTGACCCAAATTTATGTCAAATCAAGGGAGACTCAAATTTTTAATGGTAAAATTTCACTATTTTTAAAGATCTATTGGTCATCTTGTTAAAAAATTAAAGTAAATTCTTGGTAATTATTTATTTAAATATTTTATTTTTGAGGGATGTAGTGAGGATTAATGTATTTGAGAATTTCAATATCTAAAACCTTATAAAACATACTTTCACTTGGTATCTTTCTTGAGCTTTTTACCTATATCTAAAACTTTCATTTTTCTACCAATGCTCACCATTAAATTAGAATTCTTGAACCTTCCAAACCTCCACTTATCTTGAGCTTTTAGACCCTTTTCTAGTCACCTATAAATAAACCCCCCACCAACCCAAATCACAAAGTCAACAAAAACATAAATTACCAACAATAATTACCAGCTTATTCCTATTTTCTCTCTTGTAATTTTTTTTGTTTTTAATTTTTTTTTGTAAGCCTTTGATTGTAAGCTGGTAACTTAGATTTCTCCATAATAATAAAAGTCTTTTTCTTCCCTCATTTTATGAAGCTATATTTTAATTTCTTCGTTCTTTTTCAACTTCGGTTGTCAGTCTTAAACTAGTGGAAATTTATTTTTTTACTAAGAAAGTAATTTATGGAATTTAGAATTTATCTTTCTTTATACATCTTTACTTTCTTTTAAATTTGAATTTTTCTTTCTTTAAATTTGAGTTTATCTATTGAAATTTTTTAGTTTGTCGGGCTAAATATATTTGAGTTCAATTTTTTTTTTAAGCAGATGAAATTGCATTCATTAATGACCAAAGGATTACAATCAGCACTTAATAAAAGTAAAAGCTCTCTAAGTGGATAGCTAACCCAATTCCCAGAAAGGGATTGCTTCAGCAAAGCAATTCCAATGGTCTGGTTTGTTAAGTGTCCTAGGTATATGGACAACACGATATTTGTTTTTTCAGACAAGGTCTCTAATATCCTCAATCCTCAAGCCAATCTCTTATAGATGGTAATCTTCATTAGAGCTAGAACTCAAGCTGAGCTAAACCATTCAACTTATTTTTTTACTCAAATTTAGTTTTGTGGAAGCTCCCAAGCATTTAGAGTTCAACTCGAATCAAAATCGAGATGAATTTCGTTACAAAATTTTCAAAATTTTTATCCTTAAACTCAATAATTTATTTTTGAAGAAGAATCTCAATCATAAAATTATATTTTCTAATAATTATTTGAATACATAGAAGTATATATGATTTCAAACTATTCGAAGGTAAGTTTAGAGTTATTCATATTTAGAATAGAGGTTATTTGATAATAAAACAAGAATTATAGTAACAAGAAACTATTTGAGCAGAGTCAATTTTACTTGAGTCCAACCACGAGTTGCTTGAACTCGTCTCGTGCACAAAATGGGTATATATTATAATCTAATTAGATTTGATTTATTTTACATATGTTCCATTTATTATAGAAATGTAATGAACATTTGCCCTTTTTTCAAAGCAATTTTCTGTATAAAAAAATAAAAGAAAATAAATCAACAGAAAAATAAAATGAGAAGTAAGAGAAAAAAAATTCATTTGGATCCTCTACAATTCGAGATTTTTCAATTTAAATGTAATTAAGCTAACCACCATATTTCAAAAGATTGATTTAATTGAGACCCAATGAAATTATTTTTGAATAAATGGTGTATTTTTTAAATTAATAAAATATGAGAAAAAATTAATATATATTTTTTTTGTTATACAATATTGAAACTTGCATCGACTAATTATTCGAGTCAATGAATCGTGAGATTAGAAATTGTATTCCCCACAATAAAAATTCCCCGTAAAGTTGTCAAGCTATTTTATTCCTTGTTTTTTTATACCCTATACCTCATTAATCATCGCCTTTCCTAAACTATCATGTTCCTCTTACTTTCCGTTTCATCCAAACAAAGAATAGGGTTTTTAAACGGCGACGTTCCTATTATTCTATTCTCTTCTTCGCTTCATCGAACCCCACAGATAACACTCGCAGTAGAGAGAGAGTTCTAATGGCGGAGAAACCGCAACCGGTTCGGGTTCTGTACTGTGGAGTGTGCGGTTTACCTGCGGAGTACTGTGAGTTCGGACCCGATTTCGAGAAATGCAAACCCTGGTTGATCCAAAACGCACCTGACCTTTACCCTGATCTTCTCAAAGGTCAGCACCCAAAAACCCTAGATATAGATTTGCATACATATATATGTATATGAATGAATATTCTTTATTGAAAGTTTGCTTATTGATGATTCAGAGGCAAATACAAACGACGCCGATAAAGTCTCAGATCAACTTCAGTCGACCTCAATCTCAGACGGAACAGCTCCTTCTGGTAATACTATTTAGATCTTTTTTATGAATGTACTAAACTCACAAGCTCATAGATATCGATGCACATACCTCGCAAAGATGCACACACACAAATTTCTATGAATTGGGCAATTATTTATTTAGGGTGAAATTCATGTCAGATTTATATGGGTCAATACTTCCATATTAACTCCGTGGAAAGTTCCTTCAAATTTTTTTTAGTGTTCCAGTAATTTTGGATGGAACTAAAGATACAGATAAGTTGTTGATGTAGGACAGCAGTATAAAATCAAAACAATAATGCATTATTTGTACTCACATCTTCGAATTGGCGTTTTCTTGAGCATCTTATGGATTGCATTAGTTGTACTCACCCACGTTGTAAAAAATTTGACATATTCTTGACAATAATTTTTGTCTTTTTTGGTGAAAGGTAATTTAATTGTTCAAAAAGTTGTTTGAGGAATTCGTTGGTAAGTGAAATGAATGTTGTACTCAGCATACAAGGCTATGTCAGGTCGATAGCGTGTTATGAGAGAGGTAAATGGCAGGTAGTCTTACCTCCAGTTTTGAGATAGGGACACGTGCATAATGTGTTGGTCCCCTTCTCTATGACAGTTCTGATGATGATAATGGTAATGGTAGTGGAAATAGTTTATCTGCATTAATTGGGGCTGTTTTAGTTGGCAAGCAAGAAATTATTTTGTGAACACGCTTTATTTGTTCTGTTATTTCTAGTTATAGGCTTCCTTCTGAAATTTGACTTCATTTATGTGGTTACACTACAATCATGTTCTCCATTGATTTGTTTCTTTGTTGCAGCTGGTTCGTCAACTTCTAAGCAAGAAGAAGTAAAACGCCTTCCTGGTGGGAAAATTAAAAAGAAAGTAAGAACCTTGAGGAATTATTTTGATAATATTGTTTCATGGAAAGTTTTTGAATTATTTTTTGGCATAAAACCAAATCCCACTACGTTTGACCATATCTGTATTCACACAAGACCGAGTGTCATGTTGATTTGTGTATATGATGTCATAAAACTTTATTTAACTATGTATGCCAATATGATGTTAACCTTTACATGGATGCCTTGATCTGCAAAATAAATAATTCCATGATATGGCTGTAACTTCTCTCAAGCATGAAATGCATGAGAGCAATTAGGTATCAACAGTACTGTTAAAGCATAAAAAAGGGTGTCACTGTTCCAACGTTGTCAAATTCAAATTACTGTGTCTTATTGTCTTTTCTTCTCTCATAATCATGTGATTACTTGAATAAGGTCCTAACCGCTTTCTTTGAAGCAAATACAACTTAGTGATTGTTGTAATCCATTACTATATAAAGTTCGTTTTCATTGCTTAGTGTGTTTTCATGTGTGGTGTGAGTTGTGTTAGTTTGGCTTATTGATTGGGATTATCGTCAAGGGTTGGCATTTGAGTAAGAAGCCATGAAGGGTTTAACTATGAGTCTCTCTAATGGGACTTTCAAATGGACTGAATAGAGATTAGATTTTTATTATAAACTTTCGGCTCTCCTGTGGTTTGTAAGGGTATTCTTTTCTTAATATTGTAATCAGTGCTTGCTTCTCCTTCCTATTTCATTTTGCTCTGCATTCTTATCTTCTTTTATGTATGACAATTGACAAGTCTTTATACCTGGTTCCTCCTTTGGAAACATTCATTTTGTTTCCTTATGCTAGTCAGTCAGTTTTTCGACAGTGGAAGTTGTACTCTCTTGCTCAACTGCTAAACCCAATTTCATGTTTATCACATATGTTAACTTCCTTGAAGATTAACCTGCTTATAGAGAAAATGAGGCAATCTCCTTTTGACTCATTTTTTTCCAGCTTTCCTTGTTCCCCTTCCAACTGGCTACAATCTGTGTAGGTATAATATGAGCTTAGAAATAAATATAATGTTTTCTGTATTATTAATCAAGAAGATAGCTATTAGTTATTTCAAATTCATCACATTAGCCAAGTAAAATGAAACGTTGTTCAAATCTTTGTGGTCGGCTACGTGAATCCTTTTTTGCTATTAAGTGGTGTCAGTGGTATATTCTCTGTGAAATTATAAACAGTTAAACACCTATACCCTTTTTCACTACCTCACTCCATGTTAATTCCGGTCTTTTATTCCCTTAGCATTTCAATTAATGATGATCATTTTTTCCTCGTTGGTGCCCCTAATGGTCTTTTGTTATACATGTCAAAACCATTTTAATTGGTTTGTCTCCGTTTGTCTTCGATTGCTACTATTCTTACCAACACTAATTCACGACTATATGTTTATTGTTTTCTTTATTTTCGCACACCAACATTTACATATTCATTTCGGCTGCACTCATTATAGGGAGGACTTTTCTTTATTTTGTCAGTATCCAAAAACTAAATCCAAATTTTTTTAATACTGTAATTCATGGCTGAAGTCCTTAAGTTTTAACTACACTGACATATTTTTGCCTTTTGCTTTTGCCTATTCAATTTGTCATTGAACCTCTTTATACTCCTCTCCTCAATCTGGTTAGCAACTGCAATACTCCCCCCCCCTCCAACCCAAAAAAAAAATAAAAAATTACTGGCTGGTGGTATGCAAAATACTGTTTTGATGCAAATCTTCTTCTTTAAAATTTTAAGTACGGAGCTTACGTCTTCTTGGGATGCAAACCTTCTGGAGATGGTGAATAATTAGAGCATATTTTCCGAGTAATTCCTATTTTTTTTGTGATAATATTTGTCATATGACTGCAGAACTGATATTATTCCTTCAGTTAATGGAATTTGAACAATTGAACTTTAGTCTGAATAGAAATGTATTTGTTTTAAATTCTTTTGTAGGAGAAGCAAGAAGTTGTTATTGAGAAAGTAACACGTAACAAGCGAAAATGTATCACCACTGTGAAAGGCCTGGAACTTTTTGGTGAGAAATAAGCTGCATCTAAGTCTCTCTCTCTCTCTCTCTCATGTTTTTAATTTCCTTTACCATTCTTTTAATAATTTACTCAGATTTTTTTTAATAACATATTAGGTGTTAAACTCAGTGATGCTTCAAAGAAGCTAGGCAAAAAGTTTGCTACTGGAGCCTCCGTTGTTAAGGTGTAGTTCATTTTGCAATGCTAAACATCCCCTTCTACAGAATTGTGATGTCTTACAAAATCTTTTTGAATGAATGTCCAGGGGCCAACTGAGAAGGAGCAGATTGATGTTCAAGGAGACATATTCTATGACATTGTGGAGTTTATTACAGATACATGGCCTGATGTAATTGAATCTAAGAACCTTCTGTTCTGTACAACTTCGTATTCTTTGTTTAAATGCGTATTGGTTTTTTCTGACTCACATCCTTTGTAAATTCTATAGGAAAGCTTTCTAAATACATGTCCACAGATGGCTCTTTCCTTTTCATATCGAGAATTTTGGCCAAGTCAAGACTTGGAAAGAAATATGTGAATTATAGGATAGTGCCATTTAGTCGCTCTCTAGTATGCATTTTGATTGAATCCTGATTAGGTTCCGGGTTTTCTCTGTTTCTATATTAGATGAGGAGGTCAAGTTTTATATTTTAGGTCAATATATGGTTGTACATCTTGGAGCATTGTAATAGGTTGATATACCAGTGTTCCTGAAATGAAATAGAATAAAGGTTATGTATTGGGGTTGCATGAGCTAAGCCTTTTCTCTTCTGGTTTTCAGGTGCCAGAAACTGCAATTTACTTCATCGAGGATGGAAAAAAGGTGGCAGCGGTATAACATTGGATTTAAAACGTGGTATTATCTTCCCTGTTGGTCCAACTCTTTATGCCAAGCTAACTTTTATTTGGGGTAAAAGAACTATATTAATCAAGACTCAGGGTGAATCCAGATGTCCACTGAGATATCTTCTTCTTATTCCTTCTGGTTTTTCTTTTGAACTCTTGTTATCTATCTAAGTATATAATTTTGCAGTTGAAATGTTTTTACGAAATTAAGGATTTGATTTTTATATAGTGAGTATGATAAGTGCTGTTTGCTTTGTGCATTCCTACATGTTGCCTGGAAATCAAGCTGTAGCTAGCTGCAGTTTTGTCACCCGCCAAATCTCTGAATAAAAGAAAATTACTGCTGAGATGTTAATATTGTGGTATAAATGAGTTTTTCTTGTTACCCCTAGTCGGAGTTTATGACAGAGACTTAATTTACTGGCTTGTGAATTTTCTCAGTCTCTTTCAATATATGCTAAAATAGTTAATAAATGTTCACTTTGATTCCCAAGTGTAGACATGCATACAAGAGAGAGAGAGAGAGAGAGAGAGAGAGAGAGAGAGAGATGTCATTCAACACATTTTTATCCCAATAATCACCCGCATAAGGCTGGGGATCCACTTCTGTATAGTGGGTTCTACTTGATTTGATGATAGGTGATCTACCTTTGAAGGAAACCGTATTATAGGGGATTCGGGTTCATTGCCAGGATCTTCAAAAGTGTTTGTAATAGAATTTGGATAATCAATTATGCTGGCTAAATATATATAAACTTGTTCAATCGTAGAGATGTGATGCCAAAATAAAATGTGGAGAACCAAGTACTATCATGGTATGCAATTGTTAAGTGGAAATGATTAACTAGGCTAAGTTAAACAGAACATAGATGATGCATCATTGTTGACCACTAGGGTAGCTATACCAGTCATGGTAGACAACGCGGTTAGTTTGATGATCGAATAAGGAACAAAGAATCCCTTGACTGCATATATTTGACATTAACCCATGTGTGTGGTTTATGAACGTTTGCATTGTAACCATGAGTTTAGGATACACACAAGGGACGATTTTCCAAACCAAGAAAATAAATCAATAAGAAAAGAAGAAATCAATAAGTAACTGTCAAAAAGATTTGGCTGAAGATTCAAACAAGAGACCGAATAAGCCTTTTGGGATTCAGATTACATTGGATCTGGAATGGACTAAGCTTCCAACATGTTGGTCTTCTTAAGCTATCTTGTCAGCAAGATTCGACCCATTACACACGTCTGTAAGTGGGATAACATCGAAGGACCAATTCAAACGTTGAACTAAAGTCCATGGTTCCATTCCATTGAATCAAAAACATCATCATGGTTAGCTCCTTTAGAAGCTGTTGTTAAAGTTGTAATTTTGACCAAGTAAATCCGAATGGTATCCATAAAATTTCTTATTTATTTAGAAATTTCTAGGGAATGGTTAAGATTTGGGCAAAAAAATCTTAATTCAATTTGAATTCAAGTAATACTCAGATTATGTTTCGGATACTTGGGATCTGATTTGGATTAGTTGAACTTGGTTTCTAAACAGAGCGGTGTAACTCGAGAATTAAATTCAATTTAAACCCAAATTGAAAGCGAATCTTAGTAAAAGTTGTAGTCCGTGAATTATATTCAAGTTCAATCCAAAATGAGCCCAAATTTAAATTTGAATTGTGTAATTCAAGAATTAAACTCGATTTTTGCTTGGACAATACACGAGTTGAAATGCTCAAGTTGAACTCGGATTTGGATTGAGCTGGGGTGTATGACATGGGTTGAATTGAATTCAAATTAACCTCTCAATTCACACAAGTTGCACCCCACAAAATTTTCACTTTTGTCCACCAAACAATCAAAAAGTCTTAACATTAACAGCCTGGTCCAGACCCACCATTACCTTTTCCACATTATTAACATAAAATCTTCTGTTCGGTGTGAACGTTCACATGCTCTTCTGGAAATTTTGAACTTCGTACAATAATTCTTTAAGACAAGCTGGTAGATTTGGTTCATGTTTGAAGCCCACATGGTCGCAAAAAGCTATGCATTAGCAACAGTATTTCTAGGCAAAAGTGGTTTAAGCAATCGAGTGTATATGTTTCATTGTCTCGATGTTAGTTAGTGGCTCATGTGTGTCGTGTTTTTCATGGCATCCAAATCGTATATATTCCTTGCACGTGTATGGAATCATTTTTGAAGATTTTACTAAACCCATCTTTGGAGCTTTTTGTGACATAAAAAGGATCGGTAATAATTATTAGGGATCGTAATGAATTATGTGATATTGAATTTCTATCGAGTTTAAGTTATACCGTATTAAAATTTGCTTATTTTATGGTCAATCCAATCAAATTTGTATCGTGCTCTATTTGTACATTAGATAAGTTGTATTTAATAGATTATTGAGCAAAATTCGGGCCGATTTATTTGTTGGCAGCCACCAAGACTATGTAGAATTTTAGAATATGAAATAGATTGAAGGTGGAAGAATGTTATAAAAATAAGACACAAAGAATAACGTGGTTCGACAAATTACTTGCATCAATGGACCTAGCGTCTTATGTGCTACATCTTATCTATTATTGAAGGTACTTGATTACTCAGGGCTCAATCCTATTTATAGGGTTAAATTTACACAAGATAAAAATAAATTATACATGTCTATCGTTATCTGTAGTTATTTAAACAAACTTAAATATCGGTGAATTTTAATGATTTTGTTTTCTAGTTTGTGAGAATCCAATGAGTGACAAGTTTGATTGATTTACAAAATAAAGTTTCAATTCAGATTTAATGGCCTGCAGGTTAATTAAACAGATCTAGCCAAAAGTTTTCTAAACCTATACCTTGATGATTGATTAGGGACATTATTGCTATTGGTGGTAGAGTCTTGAGTGTCATCGGCCGAAAGTTTTGCAATGTATGTCGTATGAGGATGGTAGTAAAGATTCTTGCAATCCCAATGGTTTACAACAGAAGGATAAGAAGCTTATTAAAACTACAGAAATGGAAGACAGCTAGGGCTAAATGTACCCTAATTATTTATATTGTCCTAATCCTAGGTGGGTGCCTCTTGACTTTAGTCACCCCCGCATGCATCGAAAATTAAGATATAAGTCTATACGTTCTGAATTTGAAATTTTGTCCGTATAAAATTTGATAAAATTAATGCGTGTAGTTTGCAAGTTAATTTGTGCATGTGAAGATTGTGTTGTAGTTATCTATAAAATAAAGTACAATAAAATTCAAATCTCAAAAGATAAACAAAATGATTTTTGTTTTTCGCGATTAAAATCTCTTTAAATCTTAATTTAAAGTTAATCTAACGGTTAATATTAACACACCAAATTTAATAGGGAAAGTACACCTTTAAGGTGTATTTGAGGTGACTTCTCAAAAGTGTTTATAATACTTATAATTTCTCATAAGTACTTAAAAAAAAAATAGTATTAACACTACCGTTGCCACCGCCATCTCATCACCATCACCACCACTATCGTCTCCATTGCCTCCCCACCACCACAACTTTCCCCCTCACCACCACCACTGTCAACCACTATCATCATCGCCCAACCACCGCTACTAGCGTCACTCACGACGGCCACTACCACCACAGTTGTCGCCTCCCAGCACAACCATCACCTTCTCCAATCACCACCACTATCAACACCAACGCTCACCCCCCACTATAATCGGTGCTTAAATTCATTTTTCTTTACTTTATGTTTGTGATTTAATTTTAAGTGTGAATACAAATATGTTTATTATTAATCATTTTTTTTATTACTCCGTATTTTCAGGCACGAAAAATAACTAATTAATCTAAAAAATGCTTGCAAAACATTGGCAATCGAAACTTTTTATACAACGATGTTCTCTTAATGTCAAAGTTTTTCTACAACCTACCGGTTTTAAGTACCAGTAATGCTATGTTGATCAAATTTGAAGCCCAAATGACTTGATAACATATTATTTGGAGTCTTTATTGGGGCCCAAATGACATGATACCAAATAAAGAAGCCCAAGTCAGCTGCCATGTCATTTGTGCTCCAAATTTGATGCCAAAATTTGATCAGTGTAACATTACTCTTTAAGTACATCAGATGCTTTTAATTATTAATGCAAAATATTGTGTCAAAAGATTGTTTTTGTGCCACTGCCTCAATTTATATCTTTTAAAAAATTATTTTAAATCAGAAATTAAATTATGGCACTAAATATAGCTAATTGATTAAATATCAATGACATAATATCCCATAAATAGAGATATATCTTATCTCTATCTTCAACAGTCCCCTCAAGTTGGACACAACATTGTAGATATGAAGTAACCAACTTGACTAATGAATTGAATGACAGGATTACGGGTCTGTTGAATATTGCTGGGACTGCGGTGATTGAAGTTGTCAAGACTGCACAATTGAGATTTATCACGTAGAATTTGATGTTGAGATTTATCTGAATAAATTTTCCCCTAATGATAAATTAAGAGAGAATATGCACGAAATGTGAATAACTTATTTTTAATCAGATCAAAGAAATAATTAATAGAGATGCAAAACGAGTTAATTCGAATTCCCCGCAACAAAAAAGAAAAAAGGTGGAGTAGGTGGTTTGCCCAGTTATTTAGAAACAAATTCTCCTACCGTCTCTAATGTACCTTTTGTCTGTAAAGCGCCCCAAATTTTACCAACCATTTTGGTTGCTATGCGATGGCTTGGCTGCAAGTTGCCAAGGTGTCGTCATTTGTCATTTGTCATTTGTCGTCACCAAAATTTACATTTGTGCTCGATTTCACCATAGCTTATATTATAACACGTGAATCATTCCATCTAAGTTTAAATTGAATTCAAATTTAATTTCATTTAAATCTTTCAATTTAAATATGACCCATACTTAAATTTTAGATTCATGACATTACGTTATTCAAATTAAAATTAAAATTAAAATTGAAAATTATTTTCTATTCATAAGTTACTGTTCTAATTTGAATCTGGTAAAATTGTTATCTTAAACTTAACTAAGAATTAAAAACCTTGTAAGAAGATATTGAATATTGGGAATTGAGTTTCGATTGAAATTGAATTAACCCAAACAAGTTGCATCCCTCCGTTTGTTAGAGAGAATTAATCCAAACACAATATGATCGACCTTTGTACGCAATTAATAATATATATATATATATATATATATATATATATATATATATATATATATATATATCAAGCCAAAACATAACAACTATGCAATAAAAAAATAAAAAATATATAATAAAAAAATATAAAGAATAACAGTTAAACAATAATCGTCAGATTGGTACACTAAAATACAAATCGTTAATATACCTTCTTCTCCATAAATACAGATAGTCAGACGGGTACGCTAAAACACAGATTATCACAGGTACATTAAAACACAGATCGGTAATGTATCTTCTTCTCCATAAGTACAGATCGTCGGATAGGTACACTAAAATACAAATCGTCAGACTTCATCATAATGTCCAAATTGCTTGACGTGTTTGAATTTCTAAAACTGATAGACAACACCGTAAAAATCTCAATAACAAATGCAAAAAAAAAAAAAAAAAAATTAACTATATTTTAGACTAAAATTATGTGACGAGGACAAAATAAGTAATGAAAATCAGTAACTAACCAATCTTTTATATTCTTGCTAACGTAAGAATCGCATGCAAATTTTTTCAAAAATCAAAAAACTTTTTTTTATACTCAAAATTTGATTAAACAAAAATTAGTTTACCCGTCAAAGGAAAGATCTAACCAAATTTACTATTAAAAAAAGGAAGTGAATGATTGGCTTTTGAAGGTAGTTTTTTATTTTAATACACAGTGACTTTTCAAAGAGATTCCAAAAGGTTTAGCTTGAACTAACCTTTGGCTGCGTCTTCTCCCCATTTCTTTTGGTTGGTAGGTTTGAAACCTAACCTATCGTTGTTTAAACACATTACATAAAGCAAGCTTAGGTGTTTCCATGAAGTTTCCTCAGTTTAGTTTTCCACAAAATTAGTTACGTGTATCATCTTATATATTGCTAACAATTCTTAACTCGAGCCATTAATCAAACACAATTAATTTTATTGAGTACTGGATCATTTACACATTGACCCGTTAGGTCTATTTGATAAATGGGTCAATATGAACTAAGCTCATCATCATACAAGCTCGACTAAACAAAAGTTATACACAATACGGACACGACGATAAACAATTGTATACATGAATTAGGTATGAATTAAGATAACTTTAACACGATACGATATACACAATTTAAAAAAAAGACACCATACGACCCATAAGCAGCTCTATGCTTCCTTGCATAATTTGTTTATAAAACTATGGTTACTGCTTTTGTTTAGTTGTTTAACTTCTTCTTTTTTTGGTTCAATGATCAGGAGTATTCGGACCAATTTATACGTATTTTGATTAATTCTTTCTTCGGTTCACTTAACAGTACGTCACCTACACCGGGACTAAGGTATTCATGAGAGATAAAATTCTTCATGACCTAGACTCAAAAAGTTCCCAAAATTGACAAAACGTATGGATTATCCTTAGGGTTTAGCTGTTTAACCACATGAGTACACAAGTATAGACTAGAAATACATGTCAAAGATTCATTCTTCGTACATAGCATCATTAGAGTATAGGATGCATTGTTTGAATGCATGGTGTAGGAAACTACGATATATATTTCTACCTATGTGATCTTTTGGTCAAAGATTATAAGTTGAATACTTCATTAGATATAATCTATAATTCTAAACCAAATCTTTTGATTCAGGTTGAGAATTTAACTTAATTGCCACCAAATAATTTATTTGTCATTAGGTAACTTTGTTTTAGTGACTTTTTAAATAAAAGGGTAATTTCATCAAAAAAAATAAATAGTAAATGCAAGTTTAGCTAGTATTTTACAAAAGTGATATATATCTATTAAGGTCAGAAAGATGAAGTAAGTCCCAATAAAAAAATATTAAAAAAATATCTTTTTAGAGATTAACTCTCTAAAATAGAGAGTCCATCGGGATGATCTAATGGCATGTGTAAGGCTTTGAAAGTAATTTTTTCATAATTTAAAAAAAAAAAAAAAGTAGTTAGAAAAACAAAAATCAAGAACATAACTAAAAAAAATTACCAACTTTAGTTCTACAACAATAAGAAAGAAATTCAGAGCTAGCCATCAATGCCTCAGAAAATATATCTGGAAGGTTAAAAGATATTTAATTTCATGGGCCAACAAGGGATTGGTACAATTTGACTTTGAAGATTTTCATGTAGGCTAAATACCGAGAAACAAAATCTTAGAATGAAGGTTAGAATCTGCCTGATGTCTCCCCCACCTTCTCAGTACCTCGATCCATCTCAATCAAAATCAATGCCTTGATACAGGAGGATCCTTTCAAATCCAGATGGTAAATTTCAAAGATCCTCTAGATGCATTTATACCTAATTCTGATAGTCACTCCTAAATTAAACATGCAATATTAAAGTTGTTTATCTCTAAAAAGACTCGCTCTACGCGTCATTTTAAAATCTTATATATAGAACAATGTTATGCTTACCAAAAAATTAATAAATTAATGCAAATAGTTGGATCAATAGATTCATCTAACTTTTTTTGATGGGATTTATTGAACCATTCGTCCACATTCATTGGATAATATAACATTTTTCACATATAAGAACAATTCAGAATAAGGTGCCAAAAATTTATTTTCTAGTGTCATTCCTTTTTATTATTTAGTCTAATGACAATATGACATATCAAAGTCTTTTTTTGTTTTGTTATTTCTATGATTAAAAACTATAGATAAATGAAATTACAATCTACCTTATAAAATTTATATTTTGTCGTGTACTTATTCTTTGTAAAATATATATTATTAGCCACAAGAACACATAAAAACATATAAGAAGTCAATTCTTATCTCCCAAGTCCTATGGTTGGAAAAAAAAGGCAAATCAGTCCCGTCCTTTCAGATCTTTGAAAATTTTTCCCATCAATTATACGCCAAGATTTCTTCCCCGCAAGTGAGGGAACAAATATTTGAACTAACTGTTATGTCAAGTCAGTATTGATAACATAATACCACCAATTATTAATATATTATTTAGAATAAAACAGATCCTTATAGGTTAGTAACTACTTATTCATGTAGGTTAATAACTCTAAACTCTTCTTTTATGTATTATTCATTTAAAATTTAATTATTAATGAGTGATATCATATCATCAATGCTAATATGGTAGCATCACCTTGGATAGATTACATTACTGGTTTTCATTCAAATTTTCTCTATTATACCTCTCTCTCTTGCTCTCTATATATACCCCCCCCCCCCTCTCTCCCTATATATATACATACCACACTTCTCTCCAAAACCCACATCACTAACTTCTTCTTCCGCCTCTAAATCTCTGCATTTCCCTCTACAATGGCTAAAACCTATTTCATTACTTTCATTATCATAACTCGCTTGATTTCGATTATAGGAGAGCCAAGGCCATGGACCAATACACTCCCTTCTGAAATTCTCTCTCTCGATCTCTCTACCAGGCTTCGTGTTGATCCTGATGCCATTAGAACAGCCTCTAAAGACTTCGGAAACCTAGTTCATATTATTCCATCGGCAGTTCTTTATCCTTCCTCCATTACGGACATAGTCGACCTCGTAAAGTTCTCGTTTAACAGTACTGTACCTTTCAGTATAGCAGCGAGAGGCCATGGCCATTCCGCGAGAGGTCAAGCCATGGCGGACAGAGGGGTGGTGGTAGATATGGCGGCTTTGAAAAATCATGGTGATGGTGGTGGAATTAGGGTTTCTTGGAGCCGTGCATTAGGGTTTTACGCAGATGTTGGAGGTGAGCAGCTCTGGATCGATGTGTTGGGGAGTACACTTGAGCATGGACTTGCACCAGTTTCATGGACGGATTATCTGTATCTAACTGTTGGTGGAACTCTCTCTAATGGCGGAATCAGTGGCCAGACTTTTCGTTATGGTCCTCAGATCAGAAATGTGTTTGAGATGGATGTTATTACTGGTATATAAGTTTTTCATGGACTGAGATTTGTTTATGTAAATCACAGGTTTCACTTAACTCATGGTTGGCTTGAGAACGTTTTGGACTACTTGCCAATTCATCCTAGTCATTGCCATCCAACAAAACTTGTTATTTGATATCGTTTTGCCATGCCACTATATGACCCAATCTTTTTTATTTTAAACTTTTTCCTCTATCTATCAGTTTATGATACCATTCGATACCTTTCTATAGGACAACGACCAATATGTTTCAATATCATCCACATCAATGACCGATGTTACAACCTTAAACAATTTTAGAGATACGCAAGGTATTAGTAATAGTACAATAGAGACACAACTGATTATAAACTCTAATGACCCATTTGGTGAGGTGGATGGAAAAATGGACGGATAGAAAATAAAAGTGATACGTTTTTCATCTTTTAATGGAGGAATCATTCTTTTTATCTTTTTTTGTTTGGTAAGAGGAATGGAAAGTGGAAAGAATTGATTTTTTTTGTGTTTGATAAGACGAAAAAAATATTTTATTTTTTAATTTTTTTTAAAAAATATAAATACATATTTTAACATTATATCTATATATAAAATTAATATATATAACATAAAATTGATAAATATGATATACGTATATATCAAAAGATATATAGATAAATAACATTTTAACACACATAATTAATTTTTTATCCACTTTTACTCCCAATTTGGAGGGATTGATTTTAATGAGTTGGAAGAAAAATTAATCTATCCATTTTTTCATCCTTCCTATTTTTCTTCCTTATCAAAGATGATATTTTATTTATCTCTATAATTTTTTATCCTTCTATTTTTTCGTGATATCAAACGAAGCATAAGCTTGGTTTTGAAACATGTTAACATACTGTCCTAACCTTCAAAAGTTTTTGGAACAGTGGCAACATAATAAAGCAGAAAATATAATCTTGACATACGTAGAGAGAGAAATATAATGTTGACATTCATAGGTTCTGATTGGCTGGGAGGAAAGTCTTCCACTTGGGAGATCTTGTAGGTAAGATTTCATGTCACAGTTGTCACAGTAATATAGTTGAATGCGTTAGGAATATCCTAATCCTAGAAAATGAAAAATCTTATGTTGTTTTTTGTGACTAAGAAGTTTCCAAGCAAGAACATGATTGCATGCATGTAGATACTTCCTAGGGTTTGCTTAACCTGATGAATTTTGGTTTTTGTTTGATTCAGGAACAGGAGAGTTTGTGACTTGCTCCAAACACTTGAACTCAGAGCTGTTTTTTGCAGTTTTAGGAGGTCTAGGGCAGTTTGGAATCATAACTAGAGCAAGAATTGTCCTGGATAAGGCTCCAAACAAAGTAAGTATACATGAACCACGTTGCCTTGGTCTATGCATGTCATCACTATTTTGTACTCTCTCCGTTCTTAAATGTTTGTCGTTTTACACAATTTTTTTTGTTCCATAATATCTGTTGTTTAATGAAACAAAAGTATCATTATTATTTTTTCTTTCAAATTTACCCTTAACTTTTCAATGCATTAGATTAGGTGGAGATTAAGTGTTTTTCATATTCTTTTCATTTCCAATACATATTGAATAAATGTATTTTAGTCTTATGCAATTATTTTTTACTCATATTAGAGCTATTTAATAGCTTTTTTAATCCCTGTGCAAAAACCTTAAACGATAGGTATTTAGAAACGGAGGAAGTACAACACAAAGTTAGACCGAAAGGTTTGAAAAAATAGCAATGCTAGTAAGATCAACTATTTATTCAATAATTGTGATTGATTAAGTTAGCAGATCAATTCAGTAAATCAAGTCCAAATAATATTTTTCTTCAAAAATTGCGGAATATTCATCTGTAGACTTTTTGTTTTGATGTTATTTCACTTTTCATGTAAATCATGAGGATGACTGAACTCATAATTGACAAGAGAAACTTTTGTCAACTCGGTCGAGTCATCAACTTGCTATGTATCACCCAATACTGCGACGCTGCAAGATGGTGTATTGCAGCATCTCGACACCACGACCTGATCAATGACCTAAGAATTGGTGGTACGAGACAGCAACCTTGAACGAAGTTGGGTTGTGCATGATTGCGCTCCTCCATTTCTTTTGTACTCCATTTTGTGTTTTCACTCATTTTTATATATACCTCCTGATTTTGTTGATAGGTGAAATGGGTCAGAATGCTTTACAGTGGCTTCTCTGTCTTTACAAGAGACCAAGAAAAACTGATATCAACCACAGGACTGGATTATGTGGAAGGTTCTCTTATAGTGCATCAGAGCTCTCTAAATAACTGGAGGTCTTCCTTTTTCTCAGTGTCTGATCACTCCAGAATAGTTTCTCTATTATCCAAACATGGTATCATCTACTGCTTAGAAGTAGTCAAGTACTACGATCATCCCAACAAGGATACCGTGGATGAGGTACATTATCATTAAGGATACACTATGCTTGGTAGATAACGTCTTTTTAAATAATTTTTTGGTTTTATATTCTTAAGTCCTTTTATAAATAACTTTTATTTTACAATCCGTACCGTTTGGTAAAATTTCTCTAATAACTTTTTTAAGCTGAAAAAGTAAAAACACGGATACTATTTTGTAAAAATGATCTAAATGCATTTTAATTAGTATATATAAGTTACGCTTATATATTTGTGTGTGTGTGTGTGTGTGAGAGAGAGAGAGAGAGAGAGAAGATTAAGATTAGAGAGAGGGACCAATCCCGAACAAGTAAAAAAAAACAAAAAAAAACATTGCCTTAAAAAATACCCAAAAAAAATATTGAAAAAACTTGAAAAAAAGTGTTCCTGGTTTGTTCATTTTAGAATATATGCTAGTACATATATTTATATTATATAGACATAGTTTTTATATACTAAAGTTCATATAGATGATTTTTGCAAAGTAGTTTTTAACCTTATCCTTTTCGGTATTTTTTTTTTTAAATAAAAATTGTTTGTTTACGTAAAAACATATATAAAAAAGTATTACCAAATGGTACAATAATACATTTCTCTATAAATCAAGCTAGGCAGTTATATGACAAAGTAAGCATTATTTCCTCTGCAGGAACTTGAATTATTGCTGAAAGGTTTAAGGTTTCTACCTGGTTTCATGTTCAAGAAAGAAGCCTCCTTTGTAGATTTTCTCAATAGAGTTAGAAGTGGAGAGTTAAAGCTTCAATCAAAAGGACTATGGGATGTTCCTCATCCATGGCTCAATCTCTTCGTACCAAAATCTGGTATTCAGTATTTCAACAAGGCTGTTTTTGTCGATATCATCCAAAGACAGAACAGGACCTCAGGACCCATGCTTGTCTACCCTACAAACCGAAAAGAGTAATTATTCTAATATTTTCATTTTAAAAAAATAATAATTTTATGGTCCCTCAAGTATGCATTTTGCATAATCTTAGTTTTCATTCTTTCAATTGTTCATATTAATTAATCTCGTAAATCTTTAATCTATGTCACTTTGATCTAATTAAAAACAAAGATTTAAATTGACTAGCAGAAGTGGTCATCTGGGACACTTAGAGTTTGTAATTTATTTTATTTTGATTCACAAAGTTTTTAATTAGTATCAATTTAATATATCAGGTTTTCAACGAATGCCCCTCAAGTGTAGTAGTGCAACTCGATATGGTTAAACTTAAATTCACTGATTCGGTTTGCCTTTGGGTTGGATCCCGAAAACCCATATACTCAACTTGATAAATTTTTGAATGTAAATTAAGTTGGGATTTTTGAAATCTATGCCCAAGTACTGAATATGTCGGGTTGAACTTGAGTTGGCCTTGGGTTGAGTTTGATTCGACTGAGATGAAAAAATTCATTATTCAATAACCATCGTGTTCCATAAACTAAAGTGACACAAATTATAAGTATAAAGGATTGCATAGACACATTAAAAAAATAAAGACCAAAGTGACAAATCGTATGCTTGAGAGATCATTGTTACATTTGCCGGAAAAATGATCTTATTTTTCTAATATGTAATTTTAAAGAAATTTAAAAACTTAATTGCAGGTGGGATGATCGCATGTCTGCAGTTATACCCGATGAGGATACATTCTACTGTGTAGGTTTCTTGCACTCAGGTGGGTTCAATAACTGGGAGGTTTTGGAAGATCAGAACAATGAAATATTACAAGTTTGTGACAAAGCTGGCATTAAGGCCAAACAGTATCTTCCACACTATAGAACCAAGGAAGATTGGGTAAACCATTTTGGCCCAAAGTGGACGACTTTTGAAGAGAGGAAAGCTAAGTTTGATCCAAAAATGATATTGTCTCCTGGACAAGATATTTTCAGTTCTGTTTAAACATGGATGTGTTTCAAGTATTATGTTATGAAGATTGAATTTCTATGATTTTCTTAGTTGATAAAGTAACACTAGTTGGAATATATGAGGAATGTGTATAAATGTATAGATAGCATAGGTTGATATATTGGGACAAAGAATGTAAGGAAGAAGCTTATTGAGTTCATTTCGAATTGAAGTTTTTTGAGATTTAAATTCCCTTCTGTATATTTTGCTTCAATTTTCCTCTAAATAGTTGTCTGGCCACGATAATATTGTTTGATTGTGACCCGAGTGCCAAGAATTTTAGTTAGGACAAAAAACCATCTGCACGCAAGGGTTCTATTGCATGCAGTTAACTTTCTCTAATCCTGGAAGTGGAGAGAGACATCATGCAATGGGTTTTCCTTCTTGACTAGAACTAGTGCTAAATGTTCATAGAATCACCTGAGTAATTGCAAACAATTTAAAGATGAACTTGAAGAAGAACGAGACTGAGTTATGCTCACACTCTCAGCAAGTTATAAAGACCCTGTTGTGGCCCTATGGAGATTATTCCATAGGGCCAACATCAGTTGGAAACAAATGGTGAGAATGGGAACCCAACATTTTTGAGCCCAGAATGTTGTGGCCCTATGGAGATTATTCCATTTAATCCTACTCAGAGTTCTTTGATTTTCGATTCTGGTATGGTAGCTCCCAGCAAGAATACAAGATCAGTTTCTTTTAAATTGCTTAATCTGAATCATGATGAAGGTGAGATTTTCCCCAGTTCAGATGAGTATTTTGATTCTGATTTTGAAGACTCTTTGGTAGAAGCTCCCATTGTTTATGATCCATGTGTTCTAAATAAGCAAAATCATGATTCATGGTACAAACAAATACTTGTTACCCAACAAATGGCAGATGCAGTTCATCAGAGTGTCCACAGTCAAGAAGAGTTAATTCCAACAATGTCCCCCAGGGAGATTCATCAGGCTTTAAAAGCAAAAGGCATTTTCTCTAAGGATGATTATGTCAAAGAACCTCTTGTTCATGAAAATACAAGAGGTTTTTACTCAGATGGAGAGGAGGATGTTTCACCTATATTATTAGATCATGATTCTTTTATAGATTCATCCAAAGAGTTGCTGAGAAGGCTCACATATGCTGAGAAGAAAAGGAAACAAAAGGAGGAGGAGCTAACTGCCTTAACATTGGCACTACATAATGTACCAGTTGGGAAAGATTCGCCAAGAATCACTAGGTCCAAATCTAGAGCCATGATAGCATTCAAAATTCCAAAGCAGAACAATAAACATGGATTCAGGCATTTAGGGAACCATGGTTGTTCAGCTGCTTTTTTATGGACTTCCTGCTGCTTCTATTTGGGGGTGTTTCTGCTGGTTTTTGTTCCAGCGGGTTCACTTGTTGCTGAATTATTCTTGCTGGATTTCTCAAAGCAAGCTATGGTGGTATCAAGCTTTTTCTATGCTGCTGTCTGTAGGAACTATTCACGTGACTGTTCACGTGAACAGGTCCATTGCTTTTGGGGATCCATGATGGTGGTTGATGGTCATGTTGCTGTTTGAGGTGCTGGACTGTTTTGGCTTAAGCAGAAGGCTTTTTGGTTTTTATTTTTGAAGGACTAAAGCCAACTATGCCTTTCTTTTTTTGTTAAAGCTTTGCTTCTTCTGCTTCTTGTAATCTTGCCTTTGATTTGAATGTTATTTTGTTATTTCAAAAAAAAATAAAATAAATAAAGACCCTGTTAAGATGCCCTAATGCTTGTTCATGCATACATTGTTATATTAGTAGAAAAAGTGCAGAATTTAGGTTTCACATGTCCTAGAATTTAGTTATAAAAACACTCTTCCTTTACATCAACCCCAACATCAATAAAAAATAAAAAATAAAAAACACAGCAAAAGTGCACAACGCAAAAAACCTCCTGTTAAGCTCAACTCAAACAGACGGAGTCTAGAGAGTCAAAATGCATATAATCCTACCACGACATACAAAAAGTCTGTTTTCATGAGTTGAACATGTTATACGCATGCCGCCTCAATGGAGCCAACCTACATATTTGGTGTTGGTCCTGAAACACCTCAAATAGGAACTTAATCTAGGGAACAGGGTCCTTAAGAGATGCTTCTACAGTTAAGGTTTGAAGTTTAATTGGATTGGGGGCTTAGGTTGAGATGTTTCTAACGATTCCAATACCACTGGCCCATCAGTTCTTCCTCATACAAGCTGGGTTTGGATGCCCACTGTTATTCACAAATGGTTTTTCATAATGACCTGTTCGTATCATTAGTTTTCAAGAGTAGTTCACTCGATTGACAATCAGAGTGGATATACATCTTCCAATCAACTAATTGCACGGAATATATAAAGCATGGGCCATTAAACATTACTCAATCAACTTCTTTTGCAAGTTAATAGAGAATATACAACGCCAAATAATAGTATAACAAATGGTAATGTGCTTACAACCAGAACTTCTCATTCGAAAACTAACATGCTAGGGGTGAAGAATCTCCCACTGATAAGCCCAACACTTACAGCTTAAGCATCTTGCCCTGCATCATGGACACATTCAACTAGACACCTGCGTGTCATTGATTAAATCATCGTGAGCAAGATCCAGAAGCTCACATTCGACAATAATCCACAGCCCAGTTGATAATTATATAAAATATTGTTGGTCAATAGAAGCCATAATACCTGACTTGAAGTATCTTTGTAATGCTGCAAGCCTTCTTTTATGAAGGGCAAAACTACAGCAGCTAATTCAGCTTGATGTGCAGTGTATCCATGATCAGCTCCTTCCATAATGTGTAGTTTGTGGTTAGGTATGATCTTGGCGAACTCCAACGCGTCTTCAACGGGTATGATTTCATCAGCAGATCCATGGACTGTCAAGACCCTATACACACAATATCTATGATATACAACACACTCAAGAGTGTGAATTACCTCTACATGGAAGGACGATTAAAGTGAGCAAGGGGGTGTTGAGAGAACATGTAGGATCAAAACCATAAAAATCAACAGTGTAATAAAAAAATACAGCGGGCATGAATTCCATGTTGTTCTCTTAATGATTAAAACTAGTCCTGATGATGTGACAGTTTAAATTTCAAATTGCAGGACTCCGACCTAAGCTGCACATTATTGAGGTGAAGATGCCAAAACTGAGTAGATGCAAAATAGATAATGGAAAAAACATAAAGAATGCATTTTACGAGAAGGCACAAATGCAAAAGGTTAACTTAACTTGAAGATATTTTTTTTTTTTGAACTGGCTAGGGCTGGCAACAGAAACCAACGCTGAGCAGTATGTTTCCTAGATAAAGCAGCAAAAGTGAAATTAAAATAGCATGGCCGGACAGGTCAAGGAAGTGCAAACAGACAATAAGGCCTAGACTCGAGATACAAATATGATTCAATAAAAAATCATGCTTGTGGAGTGAGGCAAACATTAAGTAGTGTGGAGAAGTTGGATGCGGCTTTGACGAGTTAGATTTTGAGTCCCAAACTTGACATGACTCCATATCTAGACTTGGCTACCAAAATTCATAGAGAATGACTTTTTCTTTTCCTAGGTCAAAAAACTCCATTTAATTTATCTACAGAGAAAGTGGCTATCAATAGCCAAAAGAAATCAAGAGAAGGGTCATATGATTTTTGCCTGTACGAATGCATACAGTATTAGATTATAAAAAGCTAACACATGATACAAAGTCAACAAAAAATGCACACACACAGATCACATAACAAGATAATATTGAATTTATTGACCTGCATTGGTTGTCAATTTGGAGGCATGCTTCATGCATATTTGTATTTAGACGGTCAATCAAGCTTTCCTCGGTCACCCGGAAAACAACTTCTCCTGCACACACACAGTGTTTGTCAGCCATCTAATCAATGTCATAAAACACACCTTATGCAGACCATTGAACCATGTTTTGAATTTTATTCACATACTGATTTTCATGAATCTAATTTGAGTAGTTAAGGTACTACATTTTTTCAAATTTCCGGAACCCATAACAAGAAGGTGAAAGGTGTAAGATGTGGTGTCACATCATTTATGGTGGGACAGCCAGTTCTAGATTCTATCAAAATTTAGAGGAAAAATTGACAGCAAATGAAAAACTTGGCGCTTGTTGGTTGACCTCCATTAGCAGAAATATTCCTCGTTTTATGTTTAACAAGAAAAAGTTATGCACAAGACTGCAGCTGGATCATTTTAGCAGAAATTGAAAACCCCCAAATCGTGGGCTGTTTTCTTTATTTGTGACAGGCTTAAAGCTGATGAACTCCCAAGGGAGTATTCGCTTGACTTTTGATGCCAACCCCTATAAAGAACTACAATTAGGCTGAAGAGACAACCATATAATATGCAAATAACAAAAGAATTCCTTGCTTAGCAAATGGAGAGAGAGCAGCTAGAATGCATGTATATGTCAAGGATGATACTATAACATAATAAACTATCATGTAATTCTAAGGATAAGAAAACCAAGTTGCCTTGTCATTTGAATTGAAGATACAGAATCAAATAGCATATCATTGACATGTTCTACAGCTTACCTCTGTTATTGTTTACGTCAATAAATCCATCCTTCTTGGCCCTTTGCAAAAAGTCTTCTCCCAAGCGATCCGCAATGCCTCTTTTCAGATTATAGCGGCCAGAAACATTGACAACTGTGCGGATATCATGATACTTAGATGCATATAGGAGCACCACATTGCCTCCTGTGAAGGTTGCTCTCAGCAATATGAATCTTTGAGAAAAACACGTCACACAAACTAACAGATTGTTGCAATGTACTTCCAAGTCAAACCATACAAAATTGAAAAGCGGCAGCTATATGTAAAGCAACTCAGTAGTGTGACTTGCTTGGATTCATAGTGGTTCCATCCGAAAATAAACTGAGTGGGCATCTTTCCCTGCCTATAAAGTCGAGTTTTATTACTGTTTTAATTTTTCCTTTACTGCCCATATAATAGGCAGGACATATATGTAGAACGCTTGATGCTAGACAGAGGTGTGCTTAGCTTTGGGATTTGTAAGCACTAAACAGTAAAGTATTTTGTTTTTTTTTTACTAAACAGTAAAGTAAGGATTGGATCCAAGGCCCAAATGTCTAAATCTCAAAACTTTGGGAGTTTAACTGGATAGAGAATTGAAAATTAACCATAGTACCAGACATTGATTCAATCAAAAAGACGATGACAAATATTAAGCAAAAAGGTATGACCAATAAAGAACTCTTGGGGTCTCAGAAACTGAGATGTCCTTGAAGACAGTATGCTGTTATATTGTCCTCATCTGAAAATTTTACAAATGCAGGAAAGCACAGGCTCCACTCACTCACTCCTGTACTACTCCACGGGCTGGTGACACTATTCCCATATCGGGATCAAGGACCAAGATGAAGCATTTTTTATGTACAAAGAGAACTCTCCACTCATAGTTTTCTGATGAAAATTCTACACATTAAATTTGTAGTACAAGCTAGCGTACACCATGTACCTTTACTATGTCCCAGAATCGCACTTACAACACGGCTTGCTCCATTTAAGTGTTGGACTACAGCACATAGGTCGTCAGCTTCTCTCCAGTAGTTACCATACTCAAATGAACCTTCACTTTCCCTGGAAACCATGAATAAACAAGCAAGTTACTTAAAGTAGTGCACAGTTATATGATTACCAAGTCTGACATTTGGGATTTGTGACGAAAAGATATCCTACAATGCAAAGTGAACAACATGCATGCTCTAATATCATGCAAATCATCCATAATGTTGGTTTAACAACTCTGAGGGTGATGTGAATAGCTTTTACCATAAACGGAATACATATTAATGGCTGGAATTGTTATATATTAACGTTCAAGACAAATTAGATTCTACTAATATGACCCTGTCAATTCTGTGTTAGATAGTTTCTAACCTCATTAATTGACCCTCTAATGTTGAACTGTGGCTTTGCTCCTGCTCCCAAGAAGAACGTGGTTCAGGAAAATTATTAAACTAGAGGGGGAAACATATGCAGCAAAACCTAGGCAATAATTACAGCTTCACTAAAAGATTCATGGCTAATACTACTCTTTTTATAGAATTCAGGTTGGGAACTTTCGCTTTCACGGATTAAAGGACTCTTAAGACAATACCAACAGAATCAAGCCCTCTGTCCTCTCTCTTTTTTTCTATCTGTAGCTTCTTCTGCATGCATTCAAAAGAACAAGGTGTTTAATTTTGTTGGCTCCACAGATCTGGCAAACGTCAATGCCAATATGTATATATCTAGCTTGCACAATTTGGAAACCAAAATTCAAATACTAGCAAGGAACTAAATTTCGTTTCAAACAGTCGAAACATCCGAAACGTTTCCGTTTCTATAAAAACCAAAACGAATCATTGATTCAATATCAAAATTCCTATGTTTCGAGATGTTTCGGCATGTTTTGACTCAAGGATCAAAATTTTTCATTTCAGTGCATTGTTTCCGTCACCTAAAAAACTGAAATATTTCGACGTGTTTTGGACCCATTTTGGAAACAGATTGAAAAAAATAAAAAAATTAAGAATTATTTTTTCAAAATATTGATTGAAATATACTAAAATATCTTGAAATACTTTGAAAATTTCTAAAACAATTGTATAAATGCATTGAAATATAAAAAACATTTCGAAATATTATGGAACACTTCTAAGTATTAAAATTTCGATTTCCTTGGGAACGAAAATGTTTCGGTCATTTCGCAAGGAAATTTTAATACTGATTTTGACCTATGTTTTGACCAAAGTTTCAGAAATAAATTTTTAAATTTTTCTTTGTTTCTATCTTGTCTTTGAAATATTACCGAAACGTTTCCATTTTCAAACTTAGTGAAACTATGAACCGAAACGAAATTTTGATTATTGGTTACTAGTAATAAAGCTTGTAGTTTGTTAGCTTTTGATGTTTGTGTCCCTTTTCAATGGTATTTGGTAAGCACACTGTGCACAGGTACCAGTTCATAAAATAATTGTATACCATGATTTGAGTTAACAAACTATGTCCATTATTTTTACTTCTTTTTTTTTTTTTTTGTGTGTGTGTGTGTGTGTGTGTTGGGTGGGGGTCATAATATAATTTTAAACGACAAAACTATGTCCATTATTTTTCTTTTTTTGTGTGTGTATGTGTGTGTGTGAGTGTTTTGGCTGGAGGGCCGTAACTAAGAGAAGTTAAAGTAATTTCTTACAAGCGAGATAGCATGCAAAGGGATATCTGGGCCATTCACTAATAAAAAATGAAATCCTTATCCACTGGAGATGGTGTCAATATTTTTGTTTTTTTTCATCGTAATAGATAACACTACTAAACCACAATGCCAGAACAAAGGCCAAGGTCCATAATCAGCCAATTGATAGCATGGACCCCCATCAGAAGAATGCCCATTCATTAGACTGCAAACCACTTAGAACTTCTGTAAGGCTTATTTTAGAATACGCACAGCATAAAAGTACATGCACAACATATGCATATACCTAGGTGGGCATATATTATCAAAGAACACTAGAAAAAGACAGGGCTTTTAAACATAATGTCAGAGTAAGCTTACCCATTTCCAGCAAAATCAAAGCGGAAGGCACTTATTCCTTCATTTTCTAAAGCATTAGAAAGGCTCACCATAGTGTTGTGTTCCTGGAGATAAAAACACGAATTTAAAATTTCCATCTATCAATTGAAACATAAGCCTCATATTGAATACTATTGCTGTTGGTATCTTCTTTAAATTCATATTTCTTAATATTCACAGATCTGATATAATTTTACATTTCTTGTCCAACCAAGGTTGCATTATTAGATTTTGTTTCCTCTCAAAATAAGGCACTATACTTTCCCTAAATTGCTGCTAATTCAAGTACAAATGAATTAAACAGTAATTAGTAAAGATATGTGAAAGAACTTTTAGTCAATAGCATCAGATCGGACTGGATTTTGAATTGTAAACCAACATCAATTTTTGTAGATTAGTCAACATTCAAGGTTTGGAATATTATTTGAAAGCCAAGGGGTAACTGTAGTAGACCAACATCAACTTCCACATAAGAGGAATCAATAAATGGTTTAAGAACAGTGCGAAGCAAAAAGTTTGTTTTCAGCATTTCCATTGAGTTAACAAAATTTTTCTTAATGTCAGCTTGTGCCATTGCCAGGATACCATGACTTTTCCAAGGCACAACTTTTAACCAAAATGTCGGTCCTTGTGCAAAAAGGAACTATAAAAGCCGACATTGAATAAGATTATCAAAAAGTGAATATTAATCCATAAATTGTGAACCACTTCAGACTCAAACCATAAAACTAAGTCTAATGGTATACAGTATCTGTTGTGATTTACCATTCTCATTTTAATTTTCATCCCATCTAATATTGTGAATGAGATCTAATGAGAGTAGGTATATTTACAAGTTCCACTTCAGCAAAATCTTACAAGTCTAATCTGCAATTTACGACACCGAAAAAAGAAAGCATTTTACTCTCTGACCAAGGATTCAATTGCTGTCGAAAGAGTTGTTGGGTTGTGGCCACTTAAATTGGAAAGACAAGCAGATGATGAACATATATGCATCACGATCAACCTGAAACACAAAAAAACTACAGCTTGAAATTTCACATAACTAACCTTTAAGGATCGAAACCCGTGGCACAAGATTACGACCTCTGTAGATCCAGTTTCATGCAATAAACCCACAAGCTTTTCCCCATGATTGTTCGTTATTATGATTTTCTGCTGGTTGACAGCTGCAACATTGTAATCTAACCATTAATAAGTATCATACATGCACCTTAGAATTTCTCTAAGTTCCAGGCACAAATATCACTTGCCTTTAACTAAAACTCAGCCCATAGAAAATGCAAAACTAATTATATGAAGGATTTGGTTCCCAGGGAGATGAATCTGCTGATACACCTAGAGTGCCAGAATGGGTGGACTGGTAGGGGACTTACTTCTGACATTGAAGTAGCAACCTCAAGGTAGTGCCCTGAAGTCACTGTCTTCAATCAAATGGTATTGGTTATTCCCTTGATATTATATTCTGATTCAAAAAATTAAAACACCAAAATCTGTAGAAGTGGAAAAAATTCCACCGCTTTGATGCATCTCTATAAACTCATTATGTAGTAAACCAAGCAAGCTTATAGTGATTTACTCTTATGTTCTATGCAGTTTAACATACACCAATACATGCACACATATCTTATCCACGAATCTTGGTTGGGGCAGGCACAAACCGAAGTGGCTATAAAAAAAAAAAAAACCAATCCTGAGTGGAATAATTCTAATAAAGCTCCAGAGTGACAAAATCATTATGCAATAAATTCACAAAGCTCATAGTGATTTCTTTTAACATACTAAGCATATTGTTACCTAATACACACACACACACACACACATCTGATCCAAAAAACTTTATTGGAGCAGGTATATGCCACAGTCATCATCAAAAATCGATCTTTAGTTGAACAACTACAATAAAGCCCGAAGTGATTTCTCTTTCCTCTTCTAGCTTACCTATATAACAATCAGCAATACATTATGCATATTGTTCATCTGGATTCATTCACCTTTAATTATTCGCTAATGGGTATCGGCCACTTCATTTTTTTTTTTTTTTTTTTGTGATCCATATGCCGGAAATTGTAATCATATGAATGAAAGGTCAATAGAAACACCATAGCACTTACACAACAGATACAGACAAAAAGTAAGGGATCTTCTTGCCTGGGTTTTGTGCCATCTTTAGGACTCTTTTGGAGCTTCTACAGCGATTGGGTGAAGGAATGATACGTACCTGTTGAAGAAAAAAAAATGACGAAGGAGGCTTTTGTGTAATAACAGAAGTTGAGAGCACTGAATGATAATTGTGAGAAAGATTTTCCATTTTCTGTAATTATATATTGAATACAATAGCAAGAGATAGCTTAAGGCGACGAGAGCAGAGACTACTCTGTATTCAGTATTTCTGACCTTCTTCACGGATCTCTGAATCAGAAAGAGATGAAAATAAAGAGAAGATTTTTTACGTTTTTATTTGGGAAAATCCCACTTTGTACCACCACATAAATTTAAGATTTTCTACTATATACCTAAAAAGGTTTTTTTCTCTTCTATATCGGTTTCTGTTGTTTATTCCTCATTGATGTTGATGACATGAATAATGGAAGTTAATTGAATGAACACTTTACAACACTTTTAGTATGTTTAGGATTAAATTTTTTAAGGTGTAAAATACAATTACCTTTTTACTTTGTTGTAAGATTATCATAATTAGTGCAGTCCCCTATATTATATAAGAATAGGGGTGTTCACCGTCTTTCTATTTGATACTTTATAGAAATTTTTTTTTGTCTATCTTATCCGATCAGGTGTGATATTTCTACTCGGCTAATTCGCATTTTTTAGTGGTCTGAATTATATTATATTATACACCCAAGTATAAATGATCAAATTGTAATTTTTTCGGTTTTAAGTCTAAATATCAATCCCACGAAAAGTTTAGTAATTTAGTAGTAAAAAAAACAGTAAAGTTATTATTTGAAGCTATGATGTTTGATAACTTGTGATGTGAGTATAGATTGATGACTAGTTCAACTTAAATAAAGTGCATAAGTAAACAAATAAAGTGTTTAAGTAAATATGTTAACAACAAGAATATAAAAGATACCCTTCAGTTTAAGGGTTTCATATGCATTATATTGGTTAGATACTGAAAATGCTATAGTACCAAGATTAACTTCTATTTATTGGCAAGTCAACCAGTTGGTCTGATATATATAAACCATAGCATAACTGCTTCTTAGGCTAATTGGTTATATTCATGTCAATTGATTAACCCAAGCAAATCAGAAGGACAAGCCATTCATGAGAAATACTTGAGTTATTCACTTGATCTCATGATTATAAGTGCGTACATAATAAACCATAACGCAATCACGTCTTAGGTTAACAGGTGATATTATAGCATAACATAATAACTTCTTAGGAAAGTTGGTTATAAACGTACCAATTGACTAATTCAAGTAAATCAGAAGGCTGAGGCATTCATGAGGAATACTTAAATTACCCAATAGGTCATCTGTGATATATATATATATATATATATATATATATATATAATATATATATATATATATATATATATATATATACCCAAATAACCCATAAAGACAAGTCATTTATGAGGATCTTTTAGGTTCTGTACCACACATCAATAAAACATTCTCAGCATTCCGATAGAGGACAAGTCATATCGGTAAGAACGTCGTGGTTGTTTAACTGACGGGTCTTATGATGCACTGATGACATAATTCAAGGCACAACACCAGAATTATGCACATCACTGTACCACGCATTAAGCATATAATACATAAATAAATAAAATATAAATAAGACATCAGCATTTCCATAATCTAAACAATAATATACATATGTTCTCCTCGCACTGGAGGGTATAAACGACTACTCACGCTCCATTGCTACAGACAAGTAAGGAGTGTGGGAATATTCATTACAACTAAAAATAAAACTTTTTTCACAAGGAACAATTGAAACACAACCACCTTTATTATCATTAAAGACAAAAAAAGTGGCGGCAGTTCAACTATCAAAATAGAAAGATATTACAGAAATGTAGAACTACAAATTAATAGTAAAAGTGTATCACAGACCAATTTCGGATTTCTCTCTCTCTTTTTCTTTCTTTTCTTTCCTTTCTTTTCTCTCTATGGAGCCTTGGTGGCCAGCTAGATTTTGAAAGGGAGGAGAGTTGGTTTTGGAATGGTATGCTTTGAAGTAAGAAGTGAAGAATAGGGGGAGGAAAGTTTCGGCCAGGAGGGGGGGTCCTAACCCCCACCTCCACCTTTCAAAATGTTAAGCCTTGCAATGGTGCTTGGTGTCGTGCTTTGGTCTTGCCAAGTGTCGCCTTATGATTTGTCTATGTTTCTTTATTACACCTTAGTCCTTCATAGTTTCAAGTCTTGCAAAATTGCCTTGTATTTTCTGGTATTCCTGTATTTGACCCTGAAACTTAAACATAAAGTATTTAAAACTTTAATTTACGCACAAACTATAATTCATAATGTTTAGTTCTTTTTTTTTATCTTACAAAATTGATTACTTAATTATTTTATTTACACACTAATTAGGGTTAATCACTGACTTCCTACCCGATTAATCGGGTAGGAAGTCGGATAAGAATACCACACCCTTTTGTAGCTATTAATTTTTGAATCATTTTAATAATTCAATCAAATAACATGCACAAATTTAATAACACAATAAATTAATAACACTAAAACCTAAAATAACTACAACAACAATTACAATAAAACATAAGAAAGTATGAACATTAATTTATTATAATTGTTACACAAATACAATAACAATTATTTTAAGTTTAAACCATATCAAACACATCAAAATCATAATTGCTTCAATAGACCACCAGTTCACCACAAATCATGTTACTTACACAAAAAATAAGTCCATGTTTTCGCAACTCAAACATCCACAACATTTATAATATAAATTATATTACACAAATACTTTTATAATTACTAAAAAAAATATAAAAAAGTTAAATATATTTTTTGCGGGTAGGGTAGGGTAGAAATACAGAAATTGATGGGTATTCTGCATTCCTACCTGATTTATCGGAAGACCAAAAACTCTTTTGTATTTCTACCCAATTTTTGCGGCTAGCCGTTCAGTAGGGTAGAGTCGGGTAGAAAATTGCGACCAATCGAAAATTTGAACACCCTTATATAAGAAGGTAATTCGTACTTGAAAGTATAGTGTAACGTAAGTGATAGGTGATAAGTGATAGATTTGAGGGGAGAAAAATTCAATGTGAATGAATTTAAGAGGGATATTAGTGGGTGTTAGATGAGTCTAGTTGAAACCGTCAGAAGAGTTTATTAAAGTCAATTTGTTTTATATTATAGAATCTATATAATAAAGCAAAATTTTTTACAGCTCAGATCGTTTTGATTTGATAGTCCTAATTGGACTTTCATTTCTTTGACAATTCTAAGACTCTCATCCTTCATATAACTCTACCTATCTATCTATCTTATACACTCTCTTACAATGTTATCAGAATCAGACCGGTCATCGAACCAACTAGGGGACTGGGTCAATAGTTCACTAGTTCAACAGGTAGTGGGTCAATTGGTCAGACTGGCCATATAATAAAAAAATAAACAATATATATAATAATTATAAAACATCATAATTTAGCTAAAAAATATAAAATATGTCTAAAATACATACAATTTGTCATATGACAACAAAAATCAACAATAAAATATCAAATCCTTCATTTGTGATGATACTCCCAATAAAATATCATTAATTGGGTTTATAGGTAGATATCTATTAGACCAACTTGAGAAAGAGTAATCAAACCATAACTCTCCAGTCTCCACTGTTTCTCTCTGCCAACCCAACAACAACCCACTCACAAATTCACTCCAATCCCTCATACAGAAAAGCACTGCACATATAGAAACTCACAAACAGGCATAAAAGATTGTAAATAGCTGGTTGCTGATCGTTGTCGCTGCTCGATAGTTGTTGCTCAGTGGTTGTTGCTCCCTAGTTGCTGATCGGTGGTTGCTGCTCCCTGGTATGCTGATCACTGGTTGCTGCTCATTGGTAGTCTGGATGCTGGTTACTGCTCATTGGTAGTCTGGAGTGGTGGCTTCTGCGATTTAGGGCATAAGAATGGCCCAAATAAAAACAATTGCAATTTATTTGGTTTTGTCTTCTGCGGTTTGTCTTCAAACCGTCCGATTTTTCAGTTTTTAGCCGGTTCTCTTCCTTATGCGGTCCAATTAGGGAATTGGACCGGTTAAGGTCCCGGTTCATGGTTGAACCAGTCCAGTTCTGATAACACTGCTCTCTTATACTATTATCTTTTTTCATTTCCATTTTTGTTTTTATTATTATTTAATTCATAAAACAGATGAAACTATATATTATGTAATTATTTATTTCATGAAACTAACTCAAAGTATTTATATACATGACGACATGAATTTCGCCACTTGGTTCTTAATTTGTAAATAACACTTAATATAAAAAAAAATATTGACTATAAATACCAAATAATCTTCGGTGCGAGATGAACTTTAGGTTGTAAATTAATATATAATTTTATTAAAAATTGACATTTAATTTTATCCAATTTATATTCAACTTTGTCGAATTAATATCAAATTAATTTAATCAATTTTTGAGTACTAAATCAATTTTTAAATTTGAATTCCATTATGGTTAGGGAATAATTTTTCAAATTATTTCCTAAAATAGAAAAAATGGAATATCAAAACATTAAAAATTGCACAAAAATTATTAAAAAATAGAAAATTGCTATCTAACTTATTAAGATAAAATGTATGTATTTTTTGGAGTCTAAAAAAATTGGCGGCACAGAATTTAGACTCTCCTATGATTTATTATTAATTTTTCAAATTCTTTTCTAAAATAAAAAAATAGATTATCAAAGCATTACAAATTACACAAAATTATTAAAAAAAAAATAATATTGCAAGGTAACTTATTAAAATAAAATGTACATATTGTCTGAAGTCAAAAATATTGGTGGGGTTGTATTCAGACTCTCATATTATTTATTATTAAATTTTTATTTCTTTCATAAAAGAGATTATCAAAGCATTAAAAATTGCTCAAAAAATATTAAAAAATAAAAAATTGCAATCTAACTTGTTAAAAGGAAATGTACGTATTGTCTGGAATTTAAAAAAATTGGTGACACTGAATTTGAACTCTGCTATAATTTATTTTTAATTTTCCAAATTCATTTCTAAAATAGAAAAAATGGATTATCAAAGTATTAAAAAATATAAAAAAAATTATTAAAAAATATAAAATTGCAATCTAACTTATTAAAATAAAATGTACACATTGTCTGGAGTTAAAAAAAATTGATGGCACTGAATTTGGACTCTCCTATTATCAATTTTTTAAATTCTTTCTTGAAATAGAAAAAAAAGATTATCAAAGTATTAAACATTTCACAAAAATATTAAAAAATAGAAAATTACAATCTAACTTATTAAAATAAAATGTACGTATTGTCTAGAGTCTAAAAAAACTGGCGGCACTGAAT